ACGTATACATAGATCACATAACCAGGTTAAGCAATCATACGGAACAGTCAGTCAAGTACATATGAAGTCATTGCATGAAACAATAGGGTCTTCCAAAAGTACTATAGACACCTAGGTCACAAGTACAAAAGGACTCACGAAAAGCTTTTCCCCTTCTAGGGCTTCGTCCAAATATTTATATCTTAATCAAGGTCGATCACGCTTAACCACCCGAACAAACCACACGAAGTTCCATAGAATCGCCTTTCTAGTTCACCAAATCCTTTCTAACCTAGGCCTTCATATCTTTCGTATCCGGGCGCGAGAATCTCGTCTAAGATAATTCACATCTCGAGCCGGCCGGTCCCAAGAGTAAACCATCCTTATTAAAGATTCCTACCCGACATACACACCTAACTTCCTCGAGTCCCATGATAATGATTCGTACACTTATTACATGCCCGGTTCATAACTTATGCTCAAACGAGCACTTAGACATATTCACGAATTTAGGACCACAACACCACTTGGCCCAGTCTCACTCCGCGCAGAGACCACGCGACGTGGCTCTGATACCACTTGTGACAGCCCCACCTTCCCCTAAGGCGAACCAAAGGGGTTAGCGGACTGCCTGCCCACTCTCGCCAGGACTAACGGTACAGTTTACGTCGTTCTATTACGTTCCGAAACATACCAAAGCGCGCAAACAAGTCAAAATCACTAAATAAAAAAAACGAAAATCGAAGCCGGAATGAATAGTGCAGGACACGTCAGAATCCGGCCGCCGATACAAGGCCGAGAGCAATCCAAAATTTTTCCAAAATCCTTCCTAATCCGGCCGGCAATCCGGCCAGTTTCTGGCCGGATTCCTGGCCGGATTCGGTCCTGTTCATTCCCGCCAAATTTTTTCCTTCTCCGTTTGAAATGCGTCTAGATCCGAAATCCATCCAATCATCAACCAAACATATATATACATTGAAATTCAACTTTTACAACCATAGTGGCATGCCAAAAACCATTTATCATGAATATACATACTCGGTTTGCCAATCAAAGAAAATGAACCCAATACACAATAGGGTTTCATTCAACAAGCTAAACAAAAGCCATTTACACTAGCTCAACTTGGCAATCGACTATCCAAATCAGTCCCAAAAGTAATTATATCCCTGTAAGGAAAACAAATGGAACGGGATGAGCTAAAGCCCAGTGAGTTACTACCACATAAGCAGTAAAGATCACATAAGCATAATCTTTCATTTCAAGTACACACTTAAGAAGTAAACAAGTCGGTAAAAGGATACGGATGGCTCTCAAGAGCCCGTTTCCACGCTTACATTCTTGATCCAATCTCATTGACCCTCCGTCAATGTTTAAGAATACCCGACCGTAGATCTCACTTCACTCCATTCCTTCCACCAAACATACCCCAACCGGGCCCGCACTCCAATTCAGTAGCTTTTGGTAATACTCGAGTATACCGGAACCAAGAGTCTCATTACTACAAGGTTCCTCAGTACAGTCCCCGTGGTATGTCACTTATCACGACCAAGCCCTTGCCGGCTCGATCCAAATGACCACCAAACGGGGTTGAGCTCAGTAATACAGTGAGGTCGTTGGACATCGTCCAAACAACACCAAATCAGTTTTCCAAGATTGCAATTCAATAACTCATATAGCCAGTGCAGTATTTCAGTATAACAGTAAGCAGTCATGAATGAAATCACAAGGGGTGAGGGCGGTCAAGTACACCCTCACCTCAATCACTTCCAATAACCAATTAAGCCTTCAAGGCATCAAATACACATAGAGCAAAGCCATATTATAACAAGTAAGTGAGTAGTATACTCACCAAGTGAGAAAGTGGTGTTTCATACACCGAGGTCACCAAGACGTCGTGAGCTACCGTCACGCCCTAGAATCACGCAACAAATGCAATGAGACTCGATAACGAGTCGTATAGCAATGCTGAACACAACCCCAATAGGGTTTCATATGCATGTACAAGCATAATAGCAAACCAGAAATTAAGAAAGGGCTTGAACTTAAGCCTTCATAGGAAAACCGGTTTTGACGTCATAATGCGGTAATGGTACAACTCTCACTACAATTATCGGTTGGGGGTGTAAGACCCACCGTTTCGAAGCTATGGAACAGGGCTACAATAATGTAGAAGACCACTCAATCCAGTTCCTAACACAACTTAGTCAAAAGTGCCAAATACTAAACCAGAATCACCAAAACAGGTTTGCAAAACACAGAAAACTGTAATCGGTATATCTCAGTCCATACAAGTCCAAATGCCGAAATTCCAAAGGCATATGTTAGCTAAGACATTCAGCTACATTTCATCAGAAGACACCAACTTCAAAATCCAAACCAATTCCAGTCAAAAGGGCCAATTACTAACGCAGTTTTCGCATTCTGATCAAAACAGAACAGCTACAGTAAAAACGGCATAACTCACTCTACACTCATCCAAATGACCTGAAATTTTACAGGCACCTCAAACACATCAATACCTACAACTTTCATGTTTTGAGCAAAGTCTAATTCGGCCTCTAACCCAGTGATCTAAAACCGGACAGAATTGGGATTTTATGAACCCTAACTTTCCATTTTTCACACCAAATCCAAAATTGATTGCATTTAACCACAATTCACACTCACTAGAGTCATTTCCAACCATTACAATTCATCATACAAGCCCCCAACATCAAGATCATATTAAACCAGAAAAATTCCCAATAAAATAAAAACTTCACCAAAACAAGCCAAATCAAGAGATAAATCACATTTTCAAACACTCAAGCCACTTCTAAGCATCATATAACCATTATTAGAGGTAGTAGGGTGTTCAAGCAACACTTACCAAGAAATCAAGAGAGAGAGGGATTGTGGACACCTTTGCTCTTCAAACAAACTTCACTACAACCCTTACTAGCACTAGAAGGTAAGGTTTTATGGAGTGAAATCTAACTAAACACTTGATTTGGTGGATTTTGGACCAATTGGAAGCTTGAAGTTGATGAAGTTTCTTCTTTCTTCTTGCTAGAAGGGCCGGCCAACACAAGGTAAGAAAATGGTGTTTTTTTGTGAATTTTTGGAATATTTACTTAAGTGGTCAAAAGTCAAAAAAATTGTCAAAAGGTGAATAGTGTTTCTTAAGTCACAACCAACCATATTGTGACACTTGTCACAATCATTAATGCATTCTTATCTTTCTTTTTCCCTCTCACATCAATCACTTCACACATTCCACTTATCTCTTAACACCCGATAAATTTTACACAGTATCCGAAACTTAACCTTATTGGCCGAATTTTTCCGAACTTTTCGCACTAGTGGGTCCCACGTCCGATATACGTTCTTAATTTCTCAAAATCCATTCGATACTAGAAAAATCATCTAAAAACTATAATTGCTCATAAAATCCACCAGGTAAATATTTCTAAGCCAGAAAATGCAAAAATTATGCAATTAAGGGAACTAAAACCCTAGGAAAATATTAGGGTTTTTTACGGGTTCTCACAGGGAACAATTAATGGATCTGGATAAGGTAGTGACTCCCTAATTTTATGATAGCACGTAGAACTATATTAAAGTATTGACTAACTGCCTCACCTGATCTTATGAAATTAAAATTGATAGTGTGATTCTTAAAGTTGTGAGCAAAACATAGAGCAACATTGCATCTACTTCAACAATAATATTTCTAGTATGCCTCAACCCACAATGCTCTCTTAAATTTTTACATAAAACAATAAGACAATTATTGAGTCGAAGTTGCTCTACACAAACTCTGTTGATCACCAAGAAAACAAAAACCAATTTGAAGTTGCTTTTAGTACATGACTGGTTCCTGCAAATTGATACCAACAAGATCTGGGTTTATGTTGACAAGTTGATCGGTTTATAAATTAGTAATTAGTGATAATTACATGTATAAGATGATTTTCATGCCACACAAGAAAAGACTAATAGTATAGAAATAAGTAGGTTATTGTTGTGTGCACATGAAATTATATTATAGGTCCATAATCATTCTAACTAGTTTCAGCACAACTTAGCTTTAGCTATAGATCAATTCAAACACAATAGGATAGTTATCATATATAGTAAGTAAACGGTGACTAACAATAAGACTTATTTGACTGATCATCATCAATTTCTAGTTTATAATATTACTCACTTGTAGTATACTTAATAAAGTTAGTGGTGCACCTACAATTAAGACATATTGTGTCAAAATATATGTGTTAGGTGATATTTATCATAAGGGCTCTTTTTTTAATATAATAACTATGTTGTGGCATCAAAAAACTAAAACCAGAGGTCACTAATTGAATTAGTAATGCACTAACATGTGATTAAATCACTTATGGCTCAAAGATTAAAATCTTTCTTTTTTGTTAAAAGAAAATTAAAGCATGTAATTGTTGATCCCTGCTTGAAAAACTACATTAAGAGCAGATAAACTGGTTCGACTAACGGCCAAGCTTTTGGAGGCTATTCTTAAACAAAACATGTTAGTCCTACAATCATGGTAGAAAGTGCTAAGGTGCTTTAAGTTGACCAGATTCAATTTGCTGAAGTTGTAGATCTCACAGCTAGGATACATAGAACAGAGTTAATTCTTTGCTTAGTTGAGTCAACGATCAACTTGAGTCAAAGATATTTTAGCCCATCTATATTGTTAAACCTTTCTGTTTACCACATAAAATTACTTAGAAATGAGGATTTAGATTTAGCGACACTAGATATGTGTGAACAAGAATAAAAATTTGAAACTTTTAGGCAATTGACTGCGGCCATCATATTAAACCACCATATTGTTAACATAAGTTAGAGAGTAATGATTTTAAACTTTATCATAGAAAAGGAAAATGTGTCAGCAATCAACTTGATTCCATAATCAATTGACTAATTCCCTTTTATATGTTAGTTGATTGTTGTTAAAAGTTATGCCCAAAAGTAATCATGTGCATGGTGAGTATGCAAAGAAGAAATTGTGGTCTTGTTGAGAACAATCACACCACAGCTTATTTGAATCCATCAACTGTGACAAATACAAGTTCATTAACTTGACTAAAATTGCATCCACTACTAAAGACTTCAGCAGAAGTAGTAATTAAATCACCAGAATGCATTAGGATGAAATAAGGTCCCTTGTTGAATGTCAATAACCTCAATTTTTCTACTCCATTTTCTTTCTGTCGGTAGATTCTTTCTTTCTCCATTTCCTCCCTCCTTTTGTGCATTTTAGATTCTTTATTTCTTCCTCCTTTTGTACTTTTAGAATCCATTAAATTTAAGCAATAATTGAGTACTAAACTTTATATTGAATCTTGGGAAAATGTATATATCACGTTTTAAACCTTGTCTAAAGTCTGAACTTATTTTATCAAGGGATACAGAGTATTTATCTTTGAGTTGCATATGCAAAAAGCTGGAGTTGAATAGACCACAAACCTCCAGGATGTGATGCAACTTGCCGTCTATCCTTGTTTTGCTCATCATCCTCAAGAATAACAGCTTTATTATCTCCTAGAGCTGACATTAAGTTGACACCACAAAATTAAGACATGGACTTCTTTACTATATAGTATATTAGGAACAAAAATTGCATGATAACAAGGTTGTACGTGGGGCTTACGCTCTAAAAATGTCAATACTTCAATAAAAAGAAGATTGAACATGCTGCCCATACACCAATCCAGTACCAAGTTTCTATAAAAAATAGACCTCCGTCCTTAACAAGGGTCTTTCCAACTGTAGGTTCTGAGCCATTGCTGGGCTGTAAAACCAAAGTCAAGAACCATTACTAGAATTAATATCTGGCACTCAAGGGTTAGGCAGTGCTTTGTAAGAAAACGTCAAATTTCAGTGCAAATTCTTAGGAGATATTACCTTCAAGGCTGAAGAACCCAATTCGAGAAATTTAGGCAGGGGTAAGGAGAGAGCACTCAGATTAGTCTTGCGATTGGCAAGGTGATGGGTGGATGCGTGGCAGGAGAGGCGAAGGGCAGAGGGATGGCTGAAACGAAGAGCAATAGGGGAAACGATGGTGGAAGCGGCAAAATGTTAGGGCAGAGGTAGAAGCGATGGTGGAGAGCAGGAGCACTTGCGGCTGAGAAAAAATGGTGAATTAGAATAGAAGAGAGGGATGCTTGTATATTTGACCCGCTTTTAATTTTTTACCCATGTTAGATCCGCGTGTATATCCATTTCTTATGGTTTAGTTGTGGAATTGAAATTAGAATTCTTTTGGTCCAGTAAAGAATTCAATTCATGGAATTGGATCCCCATAGAATTCAAATTGAATTCTAATTCTTCAAGTGGAGCAAAATCCAAACAACTGAATTGGAATTGGAGCCCCAATTCTAATTCTAAACCCCAATTCCATGGGGAACCAAACATACCCTTAGATTTTTGTGTCATTTTTTTTCTTCTTTTTTCTTTTATTACCTTTTTGTTTCGAGGATCTTTCTTTTTTGGATTAATTACATTTACATCCCTTGAAATTTAACCAAATTACAGGTCAATCCTTGGAAGTGGACATCTACTCTGTGTGTCGATGAAGTGATAAATCTTTGATTCGGCCACATAAAGTTGAAGGGAAAAGGTTTATTTTTTTTTATTAATGCCCATTACATGTTTGTTAAATTTTAACATAGAATTTGAGTTTGTATGTGATCTTTCGATTGGCTATTACATGGTTGTATGCTAGACAAATATCGGGCTCGTCAAAAGTTGGTCGCAGCTAGCGATTTCCTCGGAGAGGAACAACAAAGAAGACTACATGTAATGGGCGCTTTAGTTAGATGCTGAGAGATTTTTCCCATTTTTTTTTTCATGCTCTGGGAGTTTTAGTAAGATGCTATAAGTCAGTTTGTGAGTTATAATAAAATGAAATAAATCGGAGTTTTGCTGAGTTCGCTCGAGAAGAAGAACTCTAATATTGTCCAATTTTCTTGGCTTTGTGTTAATGAAATCCGTGAAGAAATAGTTGTTTATTTATTTTTAACATGAGTTGTATGCACCTATTCATGTATGGATTTGTATTTTTCCTCATAGAAGATATCAGAACTCATAAAGGAAGTTCGGAGTTTAGTTTTTCATTTTCAAACCCGGCTTTTATGGAGTTTTAGAGGTTATTTTGTCATTTTACTCATTTTCGTTAGTTGGATTTAAACTGTGTCATTAATAAGGGGATGACCTTAATATGGTCAAAACTCATGGTTTGATTTGTAGTTTGGGTAAACCTTAGGGGCGTAAATGTAATTAACCCTTCTTTTTCCTTATCTCTTGAGTAAATACCTTTAACTATGGTTAATTGCATTATGCACCGTAAACATTATGAGCACTATAAATTTCGTTTTCACAATATCTTTTTTTTTTCTTTTTTTCAAAACTAGAAGAAAAAAGACCTGGGGTGGGTTTGATATAACTATAATTTGAAATCTGAAATCTCATTTTGTTAAATTACTAAATTTTTAGGTATTGAATCTGATACAATTTATTATCTAAATTTGAACACTGAATATGATATGGCTACTAGATAATCATAGACAACTAAATATTGAATTTCATATATATTATAAATGTGTCCTTGATTTATTCATTAATGGTGTTCTGAAAATGTTTTTTGTTATAAATAATATATTATTTAATTGCATTGAAAATAAGATATTAAAAAATAAAAAAGAATGAATTACATAATAAAAATAAAATTATATTATAATAAATTGCTTGAGAAAAAATAAATTTTAGCATAATTTTCAATAGTTTCTTTTGCTTTTTGCTTCTTTGTTAACATATGTACATACAGTAAAAAAAATATTATTTTGATGCATTAAAAGTAATGAATCTTACATTTGCATTAAGTGATAAGTGAAAAACTTATCACTTATTTTTTAAAATATGCTTTAACTAGGTAATAAAACTAATTAATTCATTAATCTTATATTCTATTTTTTACTATCAAATATGTCTGAATATATTAAGGGCTGAACTCATTAAATTTAAGTACTGAATTAAATAATCAAACTGTGTCTCACTTGATTAGACAATATTTAATATATTGTTCATACAAACATACAGAACATGAATCAATCACACCTGTCATGTCCTAAACTAAATTGAACAAAAAGTATATTAAACCCAAGCTCACTACAGTACTTAAATAAAGGCAACATTAATTTAGACCAACCATCCGTTATTTGTCTCTATTCCCGATAACAAATGTCGAACTTTACAAGTGTGAACTATGGAGTTTTACCATTTCTTATTTTTTTAAAGATATTTTTCCTAACACCCCATTTCAATAGTTTATGTTATTCCAAATATGTCTATTCAATACTTGAAAGTTTCTCTCTTCCTAAATTATGAAATGTATCACTTTAGTAATTACACGACCAATGACATATTACTTCTTCTTAACAAGTGGCACATAACTTATAACCCAATACAAATTAACGGATTTTGGTACCAAGAAGACTTTTTTCAAATAAACTCTTATTTTATTATGATTAGGGAAAAAAGTTACAAGAGTGGATGGATGGACATGATAGGCGAGAGCATGGGATCAATGACAACAATAATCCATGGCACAAAAGAATGAAAATTGATGAAACCCCTACAATCTAGTGCTCATGAAGCGCAAACCACAGAAGGAAGTTGGTGGACTGACGTGAAGAAGGCAACCTTAGCCCTGCAAGACGGTCCGCCATCTTATTAGCTTCTCAAAAAATGTACGAGATGTTGGCACCTAGGTCATTTAAGATCTGGCTAATGGCCCTTAGAACATTGCAAAAAGGCCATTTAGCAATAATTGGCAATTGGATTTGGTGCACCAAAACATCCGAGTCTTCCTCTACCAGCAGATTCTTGCTCCCACTCGACTGGCAAAGAGAAAGGCCATGAAGTAAAGATAACCCCTCTGCTGAGAGCACATCGTACTTGCCAAACTCCTTATAGAAGGCAAACACCACTCTTCATGATCACGAAGAACAACACCACCTGACGCTTTTCCTGTGACCACCGAAGCATTCGTGTTCAATTTTAATTGTGGATATGGTGGCTTGCTCCATGCAACTGGTAGGTATTTGAATTTCCTCAGGGAACGAACCACAAGAGCAGCCCATGGATTCTCCAGATCACCATGAAAATGCAGTGCCTTGAAGATCCTAGCACAGCCCAACTGCTCGATAAAGCATGTGAGAGAAGGATAATCTGCTGCTCCTCAAGATGACTTCCTTCAAAAAAGCCAAATTTCTAACCTTCATAAAAACCAAAGTACCACCACTGGCACCACCATTCTAATGTGGTCCCCTGAGCCTGTGGGGATGGAGCTGTGCCAAGAGAGAAGCATAACGGACAATGAGGAGTTCATTAAGTGTAACATACCGAACTGACGGCCAAAGTGTTTCCAAATAGTAGTTGTGACCGGCCCATCAACAAAAACATGACGCAATGTTTCTTCATGATAAAAATTGCATGAACATCGAGACACCGGGGTATTTCACGCCTTTTTAAGGATAGTGTCTAACGGTAACCACCCATATACAGCACGCAAGTTCAAGAAGGACAGCTTTAGAGGATTCAAGTTGTTCCAAGTGAGCCGACAAACAGACAATAAATTTTATTTTGATCGGAGTTCCACCCAAGCACTCTTGACAAGGAACTCACCCATGGAGGAGGGCTCCTAGACCATGGAATCCTCTAGTGTCAGAAACAAGGAAAGCTGCAGTACCTTTTGAATAAGATAATTGGGCAACCATTGCTGCAGCTTCTTCACACTTTAGCCCTTCGGCCCATAGAATTCCGCAACTAACATATGCGGCGGATCTATGACTCCAAGAAGATAGGCTAAAGGAACCTCGAGAAACCATCAATCAAACCAAAAATCAACAAATTCCCTCCCCAAACACCACCTTATATGTCCTTCTGCATCATGACGCATGCTAGTCAATCTTCTCCAAATAGCCGAAGGGCAATTGGACTCAACAATCAATAGATGAGAACCCGTGTATAAGATGAACACATAGAGTCATTTAGGCGAAACCTCCACCATAATTTGTAAGAAAAAGCTGCAGTGACATCCTCAAAGAACATACACCAATGCCACCTTCCGTAACAGGGAAACACAGCTTCTCCCATACAGCCCAATGAATACGAGAGTCCGAGCCAAACCGGCCCCATAAGAACCCATTACAGAGTCTGTTCAAATGGATAAAAATAGCTCTTGGGGAGAAAGAACTTATAGTAGAAACATTGGCATAAAATCAATACATGGCGCAAAAGACCAAGTTTTCCCCCATCCAACAAGAATCTGGAACTCCAATGATTGAGCCTTGCACGTATGGATGAAAAAATAGCATCGAATAGAACACAAACACTTTTGCCACATGATATAGGTGCCCCACGATAGGTGAATGGGAGCTGCTACTAATGAAAATTAAGTGTAGAGGCAACTAATTGGAATTGCTCCAGCGTGGCTCGATTAGAAATAACATAAGAGCTTTGCACACATTGATCTTCTGACCCGAATATGCCTAATAACGATCAAAAAATGATGATATAGTGCCCAAGGCATCCCTTGAACATCGAGAAAAGATTAATATATCATCTGCAAAAGCTAAATATGGAGCACACACCAGATCTAGCATAAAACCGCCGCTCCTCCTGCAAACATAAATGCCG